TTTCATTTCCATGGGTCTACATTATTATCTATAAAACAAAAGAAAGCTTTAATACTTTTTGTTTGTTTGTATAACTGAATCCAGAAAGTTTTTACTTTTACTTCTATTTACAGGATTGAGCTATACACTATCTAAGTCAATTAAGACACTGAAATTCTAAGTCTTCCACAATATGGTTAGCCTACAATCACTGTCTTATTTCCCACAAAACCCTTCACTCCAACCACACAAATTATTTTCAACATTCCCAAAACTTAATGCGCACATTTAAGAATGCTCTGCCTTTTCTCAAGTTATTCTCTTTGCCTAGCAGATGCTCTCCACCCTCTTGTCCAGCTCATATGGGATTCCTTCACAGTTTATCAGAAAGAACTGATGTCACATCCTACTACCAATATTCCCTGATCAGAATTAATCCCTCCCTTCATTATTCTTTCACAAGCCATTATGCAAACCTGCCTGAAGACATTCTCTGACCTTATGATTATGCAGAATGATCTCTATACTATGAGGCTTCTGGAGCTATGTAAGTACTCTAACAAGGTACTTGGCACAAAGAGCATAAAATGGAAGTTTGTTAAACTGAATTGTGGACATCACATATTTTAAATGTTGGTGCAAATGAGTTGACAAGCAAGCATTTCAGTAAATACACACATATATATTTTTTTCATTTTTGCAAGCCTAAGAAGTCATTTGTTCAAAACTACTCACTCATCTATGTTCCACATTCTCTAACCAGAGGTGCTTACCTCCTACTCAAATTACCAGTAATGGGTTTTATTCACAGACATTGTAAATGTCTACTCCATTTAGTAGCATGATACTACTGGTGGGATGGCTATTTTAAGTAAAAAAAAAAATTAAAAATCTCTAAAGTCATTAAATCACATTTTATATAGTATATAATTTCAAAGATGTCTCTTAGTTCAAGTCTTTATAGAAAAAAATTTTATCAATTGAAAAGTTATTCCTAGGAAATACTTCATTCAGAGAAATACCAATTACTTGATTTCATAAAGTTGCCAAATTTATCATCTAATTGTCTTTTTTACCCATGGCATATTTGTAAAACCAACTGAAATAGTGTCTCTGAAAAAAAGTCAACTTTAGTCAAAATGGCCATTCATATTAGCATGCCTCAATAAACCTAACAACCTGAAAAAAGTCATACAATTTCAAATAGATAAAATTACAATTTTAATATACAGATATAAATGGTAGTTTAAATGTTATAAACTGAAACAAAAAATTCTTTTTTAAAAAGATTTATTTGAGAGAGAGAGAAAGAACAGGGCAGGGGGGCAGAGGGAGAGGGGACAAAGAGTCTTAAGCAGACTCTCTGCTGTGTGTGGAGCCCAATGCAGGACTCTATCTCACAACCCTGAGATCATGACCTGAGTCGAAACCAAGAGTTGGACACTTAACTGAATACACTACTCAGGCACCTCCCAAAAAATATTTCTAAGGTATCCAAATACTGCTATTTATTGGATTATAAATGTTTATGTACAAATCTAATATAAAGACATGAAAATTCCATTTTACTTGGTTACTAGGAATATTACAGACATTAAGTATTGAATAATTTCTGAGATGTTAGTGATCAGCAACACCCAGTTTTTTCTAACAGAAAACCTTCTAAAGCATAAGGCTTAAGTGGAAGAAACCAAAACAGTGTTAGCCTTGCCTTATTTTTACATATGTGAAGGAATTTGTGAATATTGCAGCATTTCTCAGAAACAAGTGGAAGCAAGTTTAACCCTCAATTTTTTCATTTAGTAGCTATATAAACTTGGCTGTATTACTTAAACACTCTGAATCTCTGCTTCATCACTTGTAAATTGGGAATAATGATTCTCAGAGTTTCTATAAGATTTGAAAGTGCTCAATAAATATCCTTTTAAAACTGATTAACAGTTTCTATAGATTTTAAATTATTTAACTAATATTGATGTCTAGATGATTTTCATTCTCATCATTTTTATTTTTCATTTTTTTGATTTTATTTATTTATTTGACAGAGCGATAGCAAGAGCAGGAACACAAGCAAGCGGAGAGGGAGAAGCAGACTTCCTGCCAAGCCGGGAGCCCAATGTGGGACTCGATCCCAGGACCCCGGGATCATGACCTGAGCCACAGGCAGATTAAGCCACCCAGGCGCCCAATTCTCAACATTTTTAGAGCCTTTTTCAAAGTTCTTCAACTTTGAAGATTATTTCCTTACTTGCTTTAACCTACAAAGAGCTTTAAGTAAACTTTATTCTCATCAGTAATATACCCACTTCACTAAAAGAAATTGAAGCTATATGTTTTCTTTAAAACTTACATAAATCATATATCCATTTTACTGTTTCCCTGGATTCACCTTTGTTTCACCTAATTCATGTAGCTTCATCTATATCTATTATAAACTATGAACATAAGAATAAAAACAATAATAAAAAAATAAACTATGTCCATATGTTCTCATTTTCAAGTATTCCTATTGCTTTCACATGCTATGTATGCACTATTTTTTGAGGGATAATCTAAAAGTAATATAGCTCATTCCAACAGTGACATTCCAAAGTAACTAAGTGTTCAATTTATGTCTTAATGTCTGAATCCCTGTGTGATTTTTCCCTCTGTAGTTTATACATATTGGTCACTGGTCTTTACATTTATATGGTAGAATCTTACAGGAAATAAAAAGCACACATGTGTGTTAAAGATAAGTATCTACTTGGCTTAGAATTTTTGCTGCACTAATTCCTAGCTCTGTGACCTTGTAAAGGTTATTTAATGTACCTGAGTCTTGATTTCCATATCTTTCAATGGGGTAAAATTATTCTTGATTTCTAGGACTCATGTGAGTAAACTGCTTTTAACAAAGCCTCGCATATGGTAAATGCTTGATAAGTATTAACCATCTCTTCCTTTTTCACCTTAATCTATCCTACTTATTTTCTCCTGTATTCTTCTTTCTTCTTTCACCTTTCCTCCTGTAAATCCGCGGCTGGTGTCCAAAATGTTCATCTCAGTCAAGTACTATGTTTATCAAAGGGAGAAAAGAAATCTGAATCAATTATGCAAATATCAACATAAATAATTGGCCTTTCATGAAGTTTCCAATGCTCCTCTCTGTTAAAAGTGCCATGATTAAGACGCAGGCTTTAATCAGAAATAACTAAGTTCGAATTAAATCCCATCACTCACTACTTAACCTATAACTTCTTGGTATTTTGTGTTCCTTACTCTCTTTAAGGTGAAGTTTCTCTAACTGGGAAACAGAACTAAGATATACCTCATCAAGCTATTGTGAAAATAAGATAAAATTCTTAGCGCAGAGTCTGCAAATAGAAAACTTTTGGGCAAGCATTACTTTTCAAACAATTCCGCCCCTTCTCTAAGTAATAAACCAGAAATAGTAGGGAAAAAAAAAAATCTCCCTTTCACAACACCTATGACAAGATCAGTAAGAGAACAATAGCAGTAAATATATTTGTAACTCTGTAAGTCCCTGTGTCTCCTCCTCACCAGTCTGCTTTGAAATGCAGCCTGGTCAAGACAAATACAACAGTGGAGCAGGGATGTAACTCCTTCTGTTCCTCACACGATTCTTTGGCTATGACTACATGAAGCCAGTGATAATATAATCACTCATATTTTTGGTCATTTTTTTTTCAAACAATGGAAAAGTAGCGCTTATAAACTTTATAAGTTCTTATAAATTACTTTGTATACCGAGAAAGGAAACGTATGTATCTCGGAAGAAAATTTTTAAAAAAAATGTTGCGTTCGTTCTTGAAAGTAACTGTAATAAATTTGACATGCTTAATACAGTCAATAAATATTGATGTTTAATGAAAATAAGATGATGAATATATAAAGATAGTTTCAAAGATTTTCAGAAATGGTTTGATGAGAACTTTATGAGAATAAAATGAAAATTTCAGAAAAAAATAAAATCAGTCTATAAAACAAACAAATCTAAAGAAAAAATAGCCTGTTGAAAAAAGGAAGATTTAACTTTTCATAGAAATTTATAGTTGAAAACACACATGTTAAATGAGTAACTGTTGCTATAAAAGGTCAAATTCAAACAATATTTGAATTATTCTAAAAAATAAAACATTTTTCAGTCAACTTCTGTTAGATTTAAATTTGCAGATGTAATGGAAAAAGCAATGTAAAAATATCAACTTAGAATCTGATGAATGAGAAAAATAAAATTTCTAAAAAAAGGAAGAAAAGCTAACCCAAGTAGATTTGAATAACAGCTGAGTACCTCCATTACTGAAAATTTTGCTTAATTAGACAAAATCTAAATAAAAAGCTTCACAAACCACCCTTTCATTTTAACTTAAAATTAAAAAAAGAAGAGAAATACATTGCAATGTCAAAATGATGCAAAATACATTAAACCATATTAAAAAGCAATTATAACCACAGCTAAAATGATACCAGTACTTGAAAAATTGTAGTTTGTAAATTACACACCCTTAAATTACACGACTTTCAAAAGCAAGAACTCTCAGCTAACAAAAACCTAATCATAATATTTCTTTTTGTCAAGTTCAAAAAACACATACTATAGTACAGATATTTTCTAATAAAAAACAAATTGTTAATATCTGTAAAATCCACTTACGATAATCTAAAGTTTATGGACAAATACTCACTGAGGTTACCAAATTTAATAAACCTATATACAAAAAACTGTCTTGAACTTAGACACATAAATTTTTTCTATGAGAAAACATTTATATAGGAGACAGTCTAATGTTACTATATATAAACACTATATTAAAGACAGACTAATTTAAAAGAAAGCAAGGATTTTTATACAACATTCTCATTGGTTGTAAGTTCTAATTGTATTTTAATCTTTTCTCTGGGATTTTAGTTATATGCTAAAATTAATACTACTTCAAGCCCAAATCCACTGTTCTTTTAATTATTATAAGACCCTAAAAACCTAGCAAGGATGAAAATTTTAAAAACATAATTAAACTTACCCCATTTAATGGATATGTTTTCCATCCTAGCTCTCCTAGAACAGTTGTTGTATCAAGCAACACAACTGGAATTAAAAAAAAAAAACTTACATGAATTTTTCAATTGAAGCAAAAACGTTATTTAAATCATTAATGTCAACTACTTTTACTATTATTCATTGCATTAGTTTTAATATGCAGCATTACTTACTTTAAAATTAACTGTGTATACTAAATACTAACATAATAATATTAAGTAATGATAAAATACATGAGGTAGTTATAACTTATTTTCAAAATATGTAATTTGTGTTTAACAATGCTAAATAAAATAGATAAGTAGCAACAGAATTAACAGTCATTTTTAGAATTTTTTTTTTTAAAGATTTTATTTATTTATTTGATAGAGACACAGCGAGAGAGGGAACACAAGCAGGGGGAGTGGGAGAGGGAGAAGCAGGCTTCCCGCCGAGCAGGGAGCCCGACGTGG